TTTCGTTTCTGATTTGTCGTTCCGGTGCGAGCAGGTTTCAACAGCTGTCTCCTGTCTATATCCAATGCAATGGCGTAGATAGAAGCAGGTCCTGTTGACTATCGTAATCGTAAATGAACAGAAAGCTTGTTTTACTGCGCCCTGTAGGGGGCGTAAGATCACGTGATTGATTTTCGGTTCCAATTCAATGCTGCTGAGTGTAGGAATGTTGACTGTGCCCAGAGCAACTATGGCGGAACGTATGAGTTCACTAGGTCATAGAACTTTGTTTTAAAGCTTTCTATTTTGTTGGCACACTAACTTCAAATGTGCAAATGGAATCGTAAATGATCAGAAATGTCTTCAGCTATTCTTCGTGTCAACATACAACTTTATGGTTGCACAAGTAAGGGTTTTCAGCAGTTATCTACTCTCAATATGAGGATATTCAGCACCACGATACTCGCAATATACGCATTAAATCCATAAAGACGGAATGGCTACAGTTCACCAGTACACTACAGCCCAAATAATATATGGTACACCTATTTCACGACCAAGGCCACTGATAAGCCTATATTCAGGGCCGGGGGTTGCTGTGGCCACTTAGCTACCGGCAGAATTTACTGTTTTTATTAAGTAAATGTAGATAGAACGGGGTTTCCTAACAGTATGAAAACAAATCGGAGATTGGCAAATCCCAGTAAGGCATTCCGGGTATGGGTTTGTTCCATTTGAGACTGCCCCAAAGCCATCTACCAAATGGTGTATGACACTTCATAGTTACTGCTAAAAACGTTGCCGTCGTAGTCATGTAAGGGTAACGGTTTCTCCAGTTAATTTAATATCACTTGGTTAACCTGGTTGAATCCAACTCACTGGTTTGATCGATTTTCATCTATCCTATGGTTTTAAAACAGCAGATGAGTTATCGAAAAGAGAAGTCCCAATCCCATAGCGAGTTTTCAATCAGTTGGAAAATGTTTAGGACCGATTGGGAAGTCATCGTTTCAGAGGGCTTTGGTAAACAATCGATGGATTTATTGCTGGGCAACGTTTCGCTTTTGACACAAAAGCTTCGTCAGGCCAAGTGAGTAAGTAAGTAGGTTGATTGGGTTTTAAGCAGTTAGGGAACCAATCCGTGAGATTCCTTATGACTAGTGACTTGACCAGTGCTGGGTGTTCAATCTGATGTTACTGTTTGTTGATTAGTGGGGATGACTAAGATTTACGATAGATTGGTTAGGGGGGATTGGTCTTTATGATGAACCTGGATTTTTTCGTCCTTGCCCCTTCAGTCTAGGGCACCTTAATGGAAGATTCCTCTTGGGGTTGTTCACAGATTTCGTTCACCTGTGTTCGTCCAAGAGTGCTGGGACAATTAGTTTGGGGATGGGGGTGGGGTGGTTAATTGGATCCAACTCTACTTGGATTTTGTACTTTTAGCCCCAGACTATTTCGCTGATAACTGCACACCGCCTCGTGTCATCTCGGCTGATCTAAGACCGCTCTCCACACGTTGCAAGCTCTACCCCCTCTATTCTATTCACACTGGGATGCTTGGCGATTTCCACCGCCTCGGCCACCAGTCGCTGTGGTGTGAATCTTAAACTCCGTCTCAGGATGTCCACATTTTCTAATTCTATCCTATGCCCAATTTCTAGAGCACGCCCTGTCATTGCTGAATGCTTGACTAACGCCTTGTATTCCTCTGCGTTTCTCGGTGGTCTGTTAATGGAACGCTCATGCTCACCGATTCTGGTGTGCAATTCCCTGGCTGTCTGACCTATATAAACCTTCGTACAGTCGTTACATTTTATTTTGTATACACAGTTCCTAGTCCTATCAACCGGAAGGCGATCCTTCAAATGCACCAA